ATTTTTCTCAAAATCTCAAAAAACGACTCAAAAATCTAAGACTGCATAAATTTTTATTTCTAAGTTTCTAAGCTTCAGCATCACTTTGATTCATTTGCAACTTAAAAATTAATTTCTAACTGAAGTTTTCAAGTTTAATTGTTTTTTTATTGGACATGAGGGTAATTTTGCATTCTTTTAAATTATTTCCTATGTTTTATTCTATGAATTTTTCTGCATTTCTTTTTCTCTAACTTTTCTTTGTGAATTGTTTTACAGAAACCAGAAAACAAGTTCTCCTCAAGTTTGTATAGACTAGTTTTTCTTCGACGTAAACGTATATATTTTTTTAGTTTTTGCTAAAACTTGAATCAACGCGGAGATATTTTAAGGATACTTTTTTAATTCTTTTTAATTTTTCTTTTCTTATGGAGAAACCATGATAATTCGTGTTAAAAAAGTTTCGTCACAATACGACTCTTAGCAAAGTTTTGGTTTGAAATACTATTAGAGCAGTGCGATGGGTAGACAAAACTGATCATCAAAAAATAATTAAAAAACTAGCACTTATTTTTATTTGAATGAGTAACGATGGTCTCCATATAAAAACACAACACAGCCTACAACTAATCTGACCAAAGAAAGAGAAAGTTCTTTTCATTTTAACGAAACACAAAAATTATGCCTAAAACAATTAATTAGGAGCAAAATATAAAGATAATGTAAAAATATATACTGATACGGTAAGGTTAACATAGTCTTTAACATAGTCAATTGAGAGTCCAAAAAGTGCCAATGATGTGAAGGAACTCGCAGGCACATAATAATACTTTGTTGAATCTTTTGAACAAATGAGTTGATATAAAAACTCTTTCATATTTCAATTTGAAGGTTTTAAAATTTTTTTGACCTCAACGTTGTCAAACCGCCTAGAAAATTTGTTGCAAGTTCCGTCGTCGCATTTGCTCTTAGACTTTGAGTTCACAATCTTAACTGTGAGTTTTTTATCTTTCTTGACAAGTGTTTTAAATTTTGCCGCTTTACTAAATATTTCACAATTGAAAGCCGGTTTGTGTGCGACCTACGCCTCTTATTTTTAAAGCTCAATTAGAATACATAGTTTTTTTTGTTTGTCGTTACACAGTCGCATTCTATAAAATGATAAGTAGACATTAACAATCTTGAATTGAATTTCTATTTTTGGCTACTTGCTTTGCATGTAGATGGTTTAGGATATAATTCCTTAGCGGTCAGCGAGTAACTCGCGAGAACACAGAGATGAAGAGAGGAGAGATTGAAAAGAAAGGAGAAAGAGAGGGGGAGAGTGAGAAAAGAGTTAGAAACAGAAAGAGAGAGAGAGAGAGAGAGAGAGAGAGAGAGAAAGAGAGTTAGAAAGAGAAGAGAGAGAAACAAGGAACAATTGAGGGAGAGAGAAAGAGAGACAAGAGAAGAAGAATTGTTATGTATTCAAAAACAATAGACCAGATTTGATGTTATCGAAATAATATATAAATATACTGATACAGTAGGGCTAAACATTAAATTTGTGGTCGTAGGAAAAACAAGTTTTCAACATAGTCAATTGACAATTCTAAAAGTGCCAGTGATGTGAAGGCAATCACAAGCACAAAAAAAATAATCTGTTGAGTTTTTTTCAACATATGAGTTGGGATAAAAGTAAGCATTTTAAAAGCTGTAGTTTTAAGAAAAATTAGGAGTGAAACTTTTTCGAGAGAACTGACTCAACTTGAAGAACTTGATGAGAAGCTAATATTATCATGCCGCTGAGAATTTCTTTACATAGTAACAGCAAAATTTTGCACCTCATGCGGTTTTTACATTTTTCCTAAATGTTTTTTACTCTAATTTGTAAAAACCGCGAGTACAAAACGCGACTTGTTTCGAGTTTCTCAAAATTAGGAAACTTTTACAAATTGCGTAGCTCATGCCTTCAACTAGCGTCCTTCGATCAAAAACGAAAAACAAATAAAAAATACATTTTTTATACAAATTCAAAATCGAATTTGCAAAACTTCAATACACTTCTCCAACCGATGATTGATTTCAACAACAAAAATAAACAGACATGAAAAATTCTTTTGTCATCGATATCACAATTTGGGGAATTTTTTTAAACTCAGCTAACTGTACCATTATCTGAAGACACCAAACAAATCTTCAATTTCAGTTAATATTACTCAAAATACCAGCGAAGTTCTTGCTAATACAATTAAGCTGCTAAAAAACGACAATACACAAAAAGATTTTGCGACCAAAGTTTTTTCTTTCATGGAGAAACATTTTAGCTATCAAGGAACAAATTTTAGTCCAGATTCCAGCCAGGGGCCATCGGAGTGCGAACCATGGACGGTACTTTCAGGCATCATTCAACATTTATCATCACACCCGTTTTTTAATCCCAGGTGTTACTTAAATGTGCATTAACACAACCAAGTTTTTTCATCAGGATACGAGTTATCAAAGCAATCTGCTAGAAATTTCAAAGGAAAAAAAGTTATGAATCGATGTAAGAACGCTTACTATTGTTTAAAAAATCGAAAATTAGAGGCAAGCATATTTTTTTCACGCCACTTCGTTTTTTGTATTGGAGAGATTGAAGCAGTTTGAAGTAATTTAAAAAAAAAAAGTCAGAAGTCAGACCGCTATAAAAACTTGTGGACACTTTTTCGATACAACCAAAAATTCTATAAACAATAACCTGTGAAATACTTTTGTTTGGAAGTTGCTCGCTTTTGTTACATAGTGGAACACTTCAATCGTTAAGTTAATTGTACTGGTGTTTATTGGAAACAAAAATTTTCAACTGAAGCAGCACGTAAAGTTCCGAATTGTTAATTCCGGAATCAAAGTTTTACAGCGTATTTTTTGCGCGTGGTAGTGCACAGGAACCTAAGACTCGAAGAGCAATTTTACTAGTTTTAAGTGCATAGTTAAATTACCTAGCAAGTAACAAACATAGCCAAAAGCCAGTTGGAAAAGAGTCAATGAACTTTCGAACGTCTAAGAAAAGATAGATGCCCTTAAATCTCTTTGAATTTCTAGCACAATTTATGAGCGGGACTTGTTCTATAAATCGACCAAATTTAGAAAAAAAAAGGATCAAAAGGTTATTTTTTTTAGCTGTGAAACCTGAAAATTTAATTTCACTTTCAAAACTAGACGTCGATCACGTTTTTCGTGACCTTTACACTTTTCCTGTCCGATAGTGAAATTCAACTTCTTTTCAACAAAGTAAACGAACTGCGCCTGAAGAAAACAAAAGTCAAATCGCGGAAAAGGGAATCAGCCTGCACAAATCTCAAGACTACCCGAAAAAAAACTATCGCGACCTCTAAGATTCTGAACTACGTTCATTGAATTGTTGTGGGTTTCTTAACATATCGAGTAAAAGGGCTTTAAAATGTATAACTGGACTCCATCTGATTCGTTGCTCGAAGAAATTGGAATATGAATTAAAACAGCCGCTTTCAAGGTTTTCCCACTCTGTGATCGGAAAAATAACCCGTTGATATCACGTCATTTCAACCTGTGCGTTTGAAGCTATGCCCTATTAGCAATGCATTTACATTTCACTGTTTGAATTTGAATTCCAAATTAAATTAAATGGAGAGCGCCGGCGAAACATTTAACAAATCGTCTTTAGTAATAAATTCGGAGCGGACAATACAGAGGACCATACATGGACGTCTTATACAAAAAATTGTTTATCGTTTAGTGACACCAAAGAGGGAGCCATAACTTGAAATAGTCACAGCCTTGAATGGAGTCTCCGCAAACCCCCAACTCGCTACTGGTTCGAAACAACGTATCAAATGATTGATATTCATACATAACAAAGAATGGAAAGTATTTAAAATCAAGTTTAAAATTAGTTTCTACAAGGCAAACGTGGGACGCTTGCAGTTCTCAGGGTGACCACTTCGGCCGAGAAAAAAGTGACCCGTTCTTTTAATTGGTAAAAATAGCTATAGCATCTAGTTGCCTCATAAAAAAGTGGATTTTTTGAACAATTTTTATTGGATTACTCATGGATGCAACTGTAAAATGTTTAAAAAACACAAAAGTGACTTTGAGGGACTTACGACAAAAAAGTGACTAGTCACTTAAAAAGTGACCAAGTGGTCACCTCGGCAGTTCATTCTGAGGACATAAGAGGTACGCAAAAGCATCCAGGAAAATTTCAATTAGATTTAATTAACTAATAGAAAATTAAGCGATGGTAAAACTGTAAATTTGGTAACAAAATAATATAATTATCAATTTACGGGAAAATAAGAACACAATATGGAACAATACAAAATTTTCAGCCAGCTGATTAATGCAACAGATTATAAGAGAGGATAAATTTGAGATAGAGAAGTTTTTTGAGTGACTACAAACAAACTAACTTTGTCCATTTAGAAGACATCCAAAAATTCATTTGAAGTATATACAAGAATATGCTCTTTGTCGTTAGACTTGTAAAGCAATTACAATCTTTCGAAATTGGAACTCTAAATTATATAAATCTTAAATTTAAAGTCAGGTGTTCTAATCTTCTTCGGATATTTTAAGACGATTACCAGAAATTATATCTCAAAGGGTTCTAATGTTGAAATATTAAGGCAACAGTAAAGACTTTTGATTAGGCTATAGATAGAAGACTCGCATTTATTGCTTGAGCTAAAAACATCTAATGCGTAGAATTGAGTAGAATACAACAGGAGCATGCCTTGAAAAAACCGTTCCGAATGATATAACAATTTGCACCAATTAGATTATGGCAACTGATAATGCGCAAATAAACGATGCCCTCTGATTAGTGAATAATATGTCTTCTTTTTTAGATCATTCGAGACGGTCTCTTTATATAGCAGTCCTTGATATTATATATCAGATTAGCATAGAATAACTAATGTGCAGCTGCAGATAAAGTCAACTTTCAAATAGGAGTTTCCTAAATACTGAGTATCAGCTACTAAGAGAATCCAAACTGAAATCTGCAGTCATCATAGACATGCAACACAAACTGGTTTATGTAAAACAAGAAAATGTAAACTACCTATTATCTGCAAATCGGATTTGACAGGCGAATAGGGGTTCTATTTTATACAAAAATAAAATTTGAAAAGTTTCCAAAACAAGTTTTTTGAACACATAGTTTTTCAGCGGAAGGATGCTGATTTTAGCTAAGTTTTCTGTCTTTCTGGCTTCCAATACCACAGTTTTTTAGACCACTGTCTATCCAGGTCTACTAAACTGTTCCTTACATTTCCTTGACTATCATACTTTACAGGATGCATATTTCTACTTGGATGATTGATGATCAGCGTATGTTGGAGGTTCCCTTGCCATGTGTGGACCCACTGGTCACACTCGGTTGTCGCTCAAGTGGACCAGAAGATTTACCAGAGAATCGTCTTCTGGAATTGATGTTATTTCGGTTCGTAATGTGTTCTTTGCCTGCATCATGCAAAGCCTTGGTCTGCTGACCATCAACCTTAAATAGAAAATTTATACACAGAGGCAAAGCTTCGCTTCTCACACGCTAGCGAGAAAACGACAAAAAGCAGCTCTATAAAATACAATTTAGTTTTCCTCGTACTAAAATTTGGTCAGAAAAATCCCTGTATAAAAAACAACTCTTCAGCTATCAGTCTGTGTAAAATAAAAACAATTATCAACGAAACCAGATTATTTGCAAAAAGCGCAGAAATTTTCGACCACATTTCCAGCAAAAATTTACACAGGCGATGCTGCGCTCCGCAAACACTTGCGAGAATACGACCAAAAGGCAGCTCTATCAAGTGAAACAAGAAAAAGTCGAAACAGGCCTCGAATTAGCAAAAACTCGGCTTCATATCGAATTCTAATCTGCGACCTAGCAAATTTGAGTCTCCGAATTAACCACTGAGCCACTGATTCTTAAAATCCCTAGCCACGGATGCTTAAAAACCAGCCACAAATAACACAGCTAAATATGCTAATAAATTGCCAATTCGATGCAGCAAAAATCGCATCAAAGATACAAAGGCAATTTTGCATGTAATAAATTGGACAGCATAAAACCAAATTATGTATAATTTATGCATTTCAAAAACAAATGAGAGATACTTTGAGTGAAAAAATTTCTGAAATCGAGCTTTCTATCATTGTACTACTTTTTTCGGTTCATTTGATGAATTTAAAATGCATCGACTACGTTAACTTTTTACTAATCAAAAGTCAAAGCACATATTACATTATACTGCTACCGCAGCCTACCATTTCAAAAGTGCCACCAAAACTAGAACTTTTATTTGCGACTTAGGTTGAAAAAAATTTTTTTTGTAAAATACACTTTGATTCGCAATTGTAAATAAAAAACTAACACAAAAACATAACTCAAGAACCAAAAGCATTGTGCGCGCGAAATATCAACTTACATTTCTTTTATAGAACATGAGCGACTGACAGTAGGAAAAAAGTGAGCAACGCTATGGAACAGAAAAAAAAACTGATTTTGTATTTTGAAAAAATTTCAATTTACGAATTTAAAGAAAAATAAATGCCCTTAAGTGTTTTGAATTTCCAGAACAATTTAACCTCTTTAGAGAAAACTGGATCAATAGGTAAACTATTATTTCACTGGGAAATCTGAAAACTAAAAAAAAAATTCGAAACAACAAAACGTTCATGTTTTTGTGATCTTTACTTTTTTTTCTGTTCAATAGTGGAGTTTTCTTTCCTTTTAATAGAACTAAAACAAAAAACAAATCAAAAGTCAAGCCGCAAAAAATCAAATTTGTGCGTGAACAAATTTCATGACTTTTCCTGAAAAGAAAAACAAACAAACAAAAAATCATCAAATCCTATTTAAGGGTCTTCACTACCTTCATTGACTCTGAACAATTTTGAAAGAATATGTTCAGCCCTATATGAACTCAAAAATACCTCAAAACAACCCGCCAAAAAACACACGAGCTAGATAAGAGAACACACACGTCGTTCACTCACACTCAATAAAAAATAAAATGTACAAAATAACAGAAAAACTGAACTTGCAATAGCATTGCAAACGATAAAGTTGCCAACATACAGTTAGAAAACATTCAATGAACGCAACTGAACAGAAAAAAAACTGACTTGCTTCAAAGAAAAAAAACTTTCGCATTTCCAGAAAAAGTTTTTACTGCCTTATAGCTCTTTCAATTTCTAGAACATTTTTTCTCGAAAAAATAACCCAATTCGAGAAAATTGGATCAATATTTAACTTTTTTCGTTTCGTTGGGAAATCTGGAAATTTTAATCCATTTTTGAAAATAAAAGTCGATCACGTTTTTCGTGACCTTTAAACTTTCGCGCTGTTAGATAGAGGAGTATGAGTTCCTTTTACACAGAGGCGAATACGCATACACAAGCAAAAAATATGACCGATAATGCTACTAGGAAAAACTGAATGAGTAAAACTTTGAGTCTACAACATTTCTTAAGTGACGCACGCCAATTATGAGTCTACATAATTACTAAGTGACACAAGCCAATTATGTCGCATTAGCAGAACCAGTCAATTTGAAAAAAAAAAATTACCAACTAACATGCCTCAATTTACAGAGCGGACGCATTTTAACTAGTATACGAAAAAGTTCATTTAAAACATCCGACACTGCCCAGGTTCGAATCCTCTTATTTTGTTGCGGGTCTCGTTCCCTACCTCTACCCTACAAATCCATGGTACCATAAAGCTAAAATGTTATTTGCATTATAATAGTCTGTGTTAATATCCTTATCATTGGTTGTACTTAATAGCTGGTTACTAATAAAAATGGACACTATCAAAATGAACACATTTTGTCGCAACAATATTTGCGATTTGGATAAAAAAGAGAGTTCATACTATAACATAAGGTTTGCTTGTGTAAACAAAGGAAATCAACTGAACTTGACGAGAAACCAAACGTCAAGCCGCGAAACACGAAATTTGAACCTGAACAAATTTTAGGACTTCTAATAAATCATCACGACCTATATAACCTATATCTCCACTACAATTATCGACTTTTAAACAAATACCGTATATAAGCAACGCCGATTTCTCTAGTAAAGGATTAACTTCTTAAGTTATGATTAATTCTTCAACAGAAAAAAACTATCCCTCAAAACGTATGATTAATCTCTTAAAACGGAAAGCATCTACTATCTCTTAAAACTTACAATCGAATACTGGACCAGTGCTTTCTCCGCCTTCGACACCTGGGACAGCTTCTGGTTGCCGATTACGTTCGGTGCCGGGTTAGCGTCTATCATCGTGTAGTTTACAGCTTTGATTTGGTTGTTCTGCCTTGTCTCGCTTTTTGATCTTCCCATCGCTGATACGTTGTGACTCTGTGAGTTAAATGTGTTTTGGAATCTAGTTTTATGGTGCTGGCTATTGTTCTCATGACCACCAGTGTACAGGTTGCTCTGAGCGTGCATACCCATGCTACTTTTGTGACTGAAATCAATATGGGCTCCATAGCCATGGTTCATTTTATGTTGATCACCTCCCATGCCCATATTTGGACCTTCGTGATAATTTCCTAGCGCGCGATCTGCAGCTGCTATACTATCTGCGGATCCAGGGTTAAAATTGATACTTCTGTAGTTATCAGTTGCCTGCTGGTGTTCCCGCTCGCTGAGAACGTAGAAGTTCCTCCGACTACTGGCAGCAAGTGGGGGTTTATTTGATCCCACTCTTCTTGGAGATTGTTGAAGGTGCGCTTTGCTACTTGAAGATGATGGGTGTTTGACTGGACGTCTTGGTGGCGTAATATCTTGCCAGGGTCCCCGGTTTTGAGAAGCCGTTGGTATTTTTTGCGCGTGCCTGGAAGTAAAAGTATTATCCGACATGATTGTGGAGTCAACTTCACTTCTCTTGAATACTAGCTCCGCTTTTGGACAGTGCTTATGGTTAATATTAAGAAACGGATCTATGTTGTGGTAATTGTGCGTTTTTTGTCTTGGAGGTGGAGGTTGAGGCGGTGATACTATACTGTTAAATCCTCTTTGCTGCTGCTGCAAACTTAAGCTTTGGTGTGAAGCCTGATTCCTTCCGTAATTATTGAATTGCTGCTCGTTATCTGTTAAAAACACATCATCTCTTGAGTCTGATATGGACGCTGTTGTTGCCATGAAAGTATCAGGACTGTTATCTCTGCTGTAATTAGACAATTCAACTGCGTTATCAATCCATCTATTCACACATTGCTGTCTACTTAAAGCACTATTACTGCTGCTTGCATGTAGCTGGTTCTGTCTGCTTTGTCGCGATGAGACCTTTTCTGGGTTCCAGGCACTGGTGGCGACTTTGAGGTCACTTCTGGCGTCACTCTGGGCGAGTGAGGTCGAGGAGTCTGGTTGTTGTCTAGGTCGGACTGTGGGCGCTCCACTGTCTGCTGAGTTGAACTGAGCAGAGGTATTCACAGACTGGTTTGCAAAGGCAGGTTCTAAATTCTGATACAGGTCGCAGGAGGCTAAAATGCAGAGGCTCTATTGAAAAACTTCTTTTCTTAACCGAAAACCAATTAGCAACCAGTTGCAATAATCTTAGAAGCTTTTCAAAAAATGTAATGCTTTTTTAGTTTTTTTGGCGCGGCTGTGAGGGGACAGGAGGAATCTAGAGGTGTGCTTACAGTGACCCCCGTTGAACAAATCTTCGTCAGTCCCTTTGCACATCAACAAGTTGATCCATAATTTTGTCTGTAAATAACTCTATGACTAAGGTTGAGAGCAAATGCATTTACATTTCAAGGTCTAAAAAAAATCTTTTTGACAAGCTTGGAGTCATGTTTTTGTAAGACGGCTAAGTGCACAATCTAATGAAAACATTTAAAAGGCAATCGATAGTCATACGATTAATTACTCCGATTGTCATCACAAAAGTGACCACATCTCACTTCAGCTCTACATTTTTCAAATACTTTTGAAGCCAATCATTTTCATTTTCAAGCGCCTTCGAAACTGCTCAGCATTCTTCTGCCAAACTAAAGCAACCGTCAGCAATCAAAACTGCAATAGTAGTTACTGCGGATTCAGGCGTTTTATCTTTCAAATCAAAAGACTAGAGCATTTAATCTAACATATTTGCATAATACCATTTTTGCACATTCCACACATGCCGTTCAAACTTGATCACTCAATAGCTTTTTTTCAAATCTTCACAGCAATTTACAAAAATGAGATCCTAGATACAAATCTGGAAGAAAACTGAAAATGGTTCCAAAATTTTAGCATCAGGGTTGAGCTGAATGATCTCATTTTCATGACTAAAATATTGATATCGGTAAAATAAATTAGCGTGCCCAATAAATTTATTCTATATTGAATCAATTTAATTAAATCGTTAAATTTAACGACTATTTCTTAAAAACAGTCAGCGCGTGCATTCAATCAATTTTTACGGTTTTGTGAAAAATAAAAAATCATCAAAAGCCATGAGAACATTTTCATAAGAAGCACCGTTCAAAAGAAAATGAAATAGGCAACTTCTAAATTAGGGAAATTTGTGGAGCTGTCAAAGATAGCTACAAAGAGTGTTTAAACATACTTATGTCTCCAAAAAAGCGTCAAAACAAACAATTCTGAAATAAAATTGAAGTACAAATCAGTCTAATCAAAACAAACCAGTCCGTAAACCATACTTAGAAGGCAAGCAAGACATGAAAATGTTGACTTTTCGAGCTCCTCGTTTGTTAGCGAAGTTAATGAAATCGTGTTTGTGTAATTTGGCTCTTATTTTGGACTCAGAATGAGGTGCATGGGAAGTCTTTAAAGTTAACAACGGGTGTGGCGCTCAATTGTTTACATGGAGAAAAATGGTAGGAATATTTCCAAAGGTCCGCAGTGGTACTTAATTCTTTCCATTTATAAGTCTACTTTTTTACTTGCCATAAGCATTGCAGAGAGCATAATATCTATACTTAATACTACCAGCTGGTATTGAATATTTTATGACAGCCAAAGCTTCCTAAAGAAGATTTGCAGAACCTTAAACCTCTTCAATCTCTAGGTCAAAATTTAATATTTACACATTCTTTGTAGATCAAATTGAGGATTAAACTCGCCTCAAAACTAATATCAGATGCGCCAAATATGAAAGGGTCCATTTCAGCAGGGGGAGTTTAATTTGAAATACGAGGAGACAAACCGTAACAATTCAGCTGTCAAGGTTGTAAAACCAGGTGCAAGTAATATTATTGCTTGAATGTCGCAATAGTTTCTAGAACTGATGATCTAAACTTGATTAAAATGAAGTAAAGCAAAATCATACAGCTTTACTTCTTGTTAATTATTTTCAAAAAATTAACAACATACAGCTAAAAACGCGACATTGAACTCAATGAAACACAAAAACATAGCCAACAGACAGTTGGAAGAGCGTCAATGAAACGCAAAAAAAAATTGATTTCAAAACATTTTTACAACTTTCGAAGAAAGAGTAGCTCATGTTGAAGTTCTTTAAACTTCCTGGATCTTTTATGATTGACCTTTTTTCATGTAACACAAAAATTAAAGAAAACTGGGTCAAGATGTAATATTTACTCCGCTGGGAATACTGAACTTAGAGTATTAAAATTATCAACTTAATTTAAATTATAAGGCGAAGCTGCGATTCGCAGACACTTACGAGAAAATGACAAAAATGCAGCTCATTAAAATGCATAAGAACACGTAGCCAACTCAAATTTAGAAGAAGTATTAAATGCAAGAAAACAGAAAAAAACTGACTTTCGAATTTAAAGAAAAAATATACGCCCTTAAAGCTCTTTGAATTTCCCGAACTATTTCTGATTAGTGATTTTGATTAAGCTTACTCAGCTTGAAAAAACTGGATCAATAGGTAAAGCTTTTATTTCACTTGGGAATCTGACATAGATGCGAAGCTGAGCTTCGTACATTGCGATAGAAAACAAGAAAACCACTAATGCAGAAAAATTTCGAAAATATCGAAAGCCTAGATCTATCAAAATGAATAAAACTAACTTTGAAATAAAAACCATGCCAAAAATTAGAATTCAAAATTCTCATCGAAAAAAATATACCAGGCGGTAACAAAGCCGAAAATATCTAAGCATAAATCCTTTCAGCAGCAAAAATTCAACAAGACTTATTAAAATATATTAAGTCCCCTTAGCCTTCAATACACACTCAAAATATCTATTAGCCCGTCATAAGAAACAATATGAAGGCACTAAGCCGATATAAAATAGACCGAAACCTATGAGGCCAAAAAATTTCTTAAAAACCACAAAAAAGACTAATTAAGTTATTAAGTCATAACACGCACAGACAGAACAAATTTTTTGACTCCCCAAACGACGCAAATTGAGGCCACTCAAACCATATAATACAGGCCGAAACCTATCAAGCCAAAAAATGAAGAAAAATAACGAAAATTTAACAAATCGATTTGCAAAAAAAAATTACAAACGACATTTAAAAAAAATTCGATCAGGACAGATACTTTAAATGCCGTTAAGCACAAATTATATATCTAGAAATAAATTTGTTACCAAGAGGTTTCCAGGAAAGGTTTTTAGATGAAGAGCCCTGTGAACGAAGTTATAGACGGGAAAAAAGTCTAGTACCCGATTGCAATACCCTTGCCTATTGCAACGGTAACAAATTCAATTTTCGAAATAAGAAGTCGATCACGTTTTTCGCGACTTACAGTTCTGTTTTTTAAAACGGAGTTTTATAAAACTCCGCCTGTTTTTTCTTGCTATTAAGATAGAAGATTTGATTACAAGGTGGCATGTCTACGGAGCATGTCTCCAGCCAGTTCTGATAGGATGCTCTGAAACTTGGGGGCAGACCAAGTCAAAATCCAGTTCTCTTAAGAGTGCTGATATGAAAGTTCTGCGTAGCATTACAGGAGTCAGTTATAAAGGTTGAGTTACCAACGAAGCCGTAATTTAAATGACAGGCCTTGTTGATCAGGACAAGCTACAAGTACGGTCGCGGCAACGATGGTTTGGCCACATTCACCGAAGAGAAAATGACCAAGCGCAAAAATCAACAGACCAATGTTTCAGTCCCAGGGAAAAAACAGCAGGATGGCCTAAAAACGCTGGAGAGAATGTTTTAAAGGAGACCTGAATAATTTAGGCCTCAAATCCACAGACTGCCTTGATCGAATGAGATTAAAAAACGTGTTTTCCTCCATTACCCATTACATAGCTTGAATGCTACTCAGAATGCCCTCATCTGAACTATTGCTTACGCTCTTTCCTAATGTCCAACCCGGTCACAATGGGAAAACGGACAATAAAAGCATTGGTAGTAGTAATAGTAGTAGTGGATTTTGTCAAGTGGAGTCTGCCTTCCGTTTGACAAAGGAAATGGAATGAACTGAAAAAGAAACTAAAATTCAAACCGCAAAAAATTTAAAATGAGCGTGAACGAACATTAAAGTTTTTTAGTCAAAAACAGCAACAACAAAATCACCAAGACCTATATAAGCGTACTCACTACGTTCGTTTCTCTTAATAAAAAGAAATAAACCTCAAAATAGTAAAACTTTTGCAACGTGTCGTATTCGAAACTATGACCTCCAGATTTGGAGTCTCGCGTCCTGCCCTCTCAGCCATTGACACTTCAAATCCTCCTGATTTTATAAAATAATTTGCTACGTCAGGGGTTCGAAGAACAAATTAGATCACGTTATAACGCTGTCAGAACATCTTTCATCACGGAAACTTTCGAGATAAAACGATGCTAAATGAAAACTGGATGAAATGCTATTTTTATTGCTAGCTTCGGTAAATGAAAAAACCAATTTCATTTCTTTTGACATTAAATATAAGAGCCATTTTTGGGATAATGTCTTTCTAGCCCATGACAATTTATCCCGAGCTTACTTACTTAATTTTAACTTGACCCACATGAAAAGACAACTTGTCCTTTCCAAACTTGACCGTAATTCTTTTATGTTGACGACGTCGCCATACAAATAATACAAATTTAAGTGTATTTGCGCGGTACTGTAGTTCTTAAGAAAAACCTGACTATTCATTGACTTGCTTGGGCATGGCCATGTAGTTGCAAAGACATGGCCAAGAAAATCATGTTGCGGATGTACATTACATGAAATAAGACATCAAAGCATTTGGGGCAATTTATGAGGCAAGTTGGCGCATGGCAAGATCTCCTGGTCGTTTTCAAATATTAGCATTGGACAGCATAGTTTATTTGCCCGTTCAGTTATCAGCTTGTTTAGTTAAAGAAACTTAACCAAAATAATTGGAAATCCAAATATTAACAGGACTGCTCAGGGTGAAGCTTTTTAAGTTATATGGTCCAGTGTTCGCTTAAAAATTTAAAGATAATTTGATCACTTTCCAAAAATGACTAGATTTTAAAAATTTAGATTTTTTTTAAATTATACCCACACGCCATATAAAGTACAAAATGTTAGATTACGCTCCTAGCAACGTAGAAATTATGACACATATTCTGCTTCGACCAATTTGCAACGATTTCTAAATCGGATTAAATCACCGCTAACGCGCCAAATATTTAGTGCGTTAAAATTATTTAGCGCCAATTTAGTTAATATTTAGCGCCACTAGCGCGATATATTTAGCGCGTTGTCCCAAATTGCCCCGATCGGCAATCTTTAAACCCCCATAACTTTACAAAGTTTTTAAATTTGAGCGCAGGACAACGATACCTTTTTGGGAGATATATAAAATGCCGTCAAAAATGGATAGCAAAAAAGTCGAAGTTTGTCCATCCCCAGCACAAATATTCCGTTTCTTTCTTCGAAAGTCCAAATAACAAGGATTACCAATTGCTGGCTGTGCAAGTAGCACATACTGTGCTGACCACGCCAATTTCCATCACAAGTTATTTGTTATCATTTCTTTTATAACAGTGAGAGATTGAATTAATAAATAAGCCGTTTAAATCAGTTAAAAACAGCTAACATAGCCAACAAAAATTTCGAAACGTCACTACAGAGCCGAAGCTGTGCTCCCCAAACACTGGCGAAAACACGAAAAAAGCAGCTTTATAAAGTGACAAGAAAAATAGAAATAAGCCTAGCCGTGTCACTTTTTGGTTAGTGCCGACCCTAGTTTTTTTTGCATCGGCTCAAAGGGTTCCCGGTGTCTGAGAGACTTGTGACTTCAATTTTTGGCAATTAGACACAATTTTAAGATACCCTATTGGAAAAAAAAACCGGAAAAAACGGTCTATGAAAATTTGGGGTCAGGCAAATGTCAGTTTTTGGTCGATTTTTGGTTTGCAGAAAAAGGGTCAAAAAAGGAGTTTTTGGGCATTCTTTTTATGTTTCTGGAAATACCTGCTCATTAGATTCCCAATGTGTATCAATTGTTGAGTTAAGATAAGTATTTAAAATTTTAGGGGTATTTAAGTCTATCGTAATTTTATGTCTGTTTCTCTGTCTGGGGAAAATGAAACTGAGGTTTAGTATTTGGCCTAAGATTGTTTTCAACGCTGAGTTTTATTTTAAACCATACACGCCTCACGTCTACTCATTGGAAAGAGCTTTCCAGCGAGCACCCATTTGCTATAATGCGATTTCTAAAACTTGAGAAATTCAAATTTGAGCCAGGGTGAAATTTTTGGGTCGTGGCCCATTTCGACTCACTTCTGTTTTTCTCATCACACATTTGACATATAATGATGAAAATAATCATGAAAACTCTCCATGAGTTGTATAGTATACCTGGAAGAAAAAATTGAAAAAAAATTAGGTCATTTTACGAGCTTCAATTTTGGAGTGAAAACGGATACAATCCAACATGCGTTCAATGAAATGAAACTTCATTGATCCATTCAATCTGGACAAGAAAGCATTAAACGGCTCCTCATATATGTCTACTACAATTTAAAAGGGTATCAGATAAAAATTTTGCATGAAAACATATTTTGCGTGCTTAAAAACGATGAAAATTGAAAAAAATATATATATTTTTTTGAAAAGTCTAACTTTGGCGGAGAATTAGCCTTTGGTCAGCTGTAATACATTACAAATGAGAATTTTATTTGTGTTCCACGGTTAGGCTTTAAAGAGTGCTTTTCATTGGCTCCTTGTTCATCATAATACAATTTTTTTAAGTTTGAATAAATTGAAATTGAGCTGATTTTTTTATTCTAGGATAGGGCTTTTTTGACTCAACTTTTATTTTCTCGTCATCTGCTAGGTTTATAAAGCTAAAATTGTGTAAGCGAACTCTTCATAGGTTGCCTAAAACAACCTCAAAAAGTAAAACAAGTTACAAAAAAAGATTTGGGTCGTGTTTTGATCTTCAATTTTGGAGTGAACACTGGATACTCTCTAACATGTCGTTCAAACTTCACTGACGGATTTAATCTGATCATTACACCTATAAAAAACGGGCTTTTTTCTACACCCCAAATTTAGGGTTGGGCGTCAAATACTAAACTTCTTGTTTTTACTATAGTTTTTGGTCAATTCCCATCTTGAGAAAAGTTTTAGTTCGATCCATGATGTTTTATTTCATTTAATTTTATCGATTTTTTTGGTTATTTTGTTGTTTTTGGGGCCAGGGGTCTTTTTTTAGGGGTTGGACACTTTTTGGGCTGTTTTCCTTTTATTTTCTAACTCTTAGTCAATTTCCTTGTTGAAACTCTGGATATTCTAATTTTTTTGTGTTTACTCAATAAAGTAAGAACCTTTTTGGTGGTTTTTGCTATTTTCGGGATTTTAGTAAGGGTTTTCAGACAAATTTCAGCTATTTTCCGAAAAAGTAGACCCTGATCACTTATTGGTGTTAACCCCAAGTTCCAAAAAGTGACAAGAGGTATGTCACTTTTTGGTGTCATTTTTTGGCTACATAAAATTGACCAAAAAATGACATAATACCTTGTCACTTTTTCGCTACATAAATTTGCCTGCTCATGTCACTTTCTGCAGACCACGTAGCCAAAAAGTGACCGGGCTAGGACCCTAATCCTCGAATTAGAAAAACTTTGCTATGTTTTAGCTTCGACTCTGCGACCTCGAGACTTTGGAGTAACACGCCCTGTCCTCTCAGCCACTGACTCTTAACATTCGGCTAACACTAGCCATACATAAAGCAGATAACAAATTTCCAAAGCTACAGATCGTGATTATAGCATAAGTGTAAATAAATGAGCTTTTTTATTTGCGAGTAATGTTGGAAAAAAAAGTCATACTAATACACTACACTCGCTAGCTCGCAGTTGTTATGATTAAATAGAAACCCCAAAAAAGATTGACTGTTTTTCTGATATTTTTGAAAATAGAACTAAACGTGATTGTTAAAATTTCAAGAAGCCTTTTGTTAGTCTTTTTCAGCAGAAAAATACCATTAGAAAAAACAAAAACGCTGCCGATAGATTATTTTCTATTCCGCTGAAAAATCTTATAAATAGGATTCTATTTCGGTGTTAAATGTCATTCAAATTTTTCATAGTGCTTTCGTAGAGATAGTAAATTGCTTTCATTAAAAAAAAACTACGAGAAGTGTATTCATCTCAATTTTTTCAGTGGCAGCATCACTCTATCAAGAATCATTAACAACGCATAACCTGAAAAAAGCATGCACTCTCATTCATTTTACTCCCTTATTCATTCCTCTTAAATTCATGATTAAAAGCAACGAAGTTGTGAGTACTCGAGTACTCTTATATAGGTCTTGGTGATTTTTCAGGAAAAGTCGATTTTGATTTTTCGCGGTTTGACTTCCGATTTTTTTTTTCAAATCCCTCGTTTCCTTTGCTAAAAGGAAGGCAAACTTCACTATTGAACAGCAAAAATATAAAAATCACGAAAGCGTTATCGACTCAAATTTTGACCAGCTTGAGAAAACCACACCTATAATTCATGAGTTCCTCTCGATTCATGAGGTGGTCTACAGAAAGAAGATATTAACTTTTTTAATACGACGGAGGTCCCAGAACTTCAACTTACGTTTGTTCTGACGACTGATTTTTGGCTTTGTTGCACTTTCCTCTCGTGAACAGCTTTTAGCTGTCTGGCTTTTCACACTGTTCTGCACTGTGCTCAAGTGACTGTAATTACTACTTCCGTTGATCATTTGACTTGCTGCAGCACTGCTTGCAATACTTGTCTTAGAGATTTTGCCTTTCTCTCTGCTGTGGTGTCTCACACTTGAATCTGCAGCACTTGCTTGACTTCGCCGACTACTTGCCGGAACACCTCCAGTCTGAGAGGTCATAAACGGAGCTGAAAACTTCTTCTCACTTCCACCTTCCCGTGACCTATGACCATCATTGATCCTCTGTGATTCTCCATTCGCACTCAAATTGGACGCTATTTGCGGAGAACTACTACTGTACGAGTGGTGGTTACCCGAGGTTGTTGTCGTCACAATAGGTGTCTGTGTAGGGTAGTCCAAATTGATATAAAGATGGCCTCTCAAATTGCCTTGCGGGTCCATTGTAGTTTGATGCTTGAATTGTAAATTTAGAGGGTTCGGAGGTGGAGTTCTGCTGTACCGGCTACTTCCCTGGTGGTGCTGTTTTTGGTTTGCTGAAGCATTCGATTTTTTGGTGTTTTGGTGAGCAAATGGGGGTGATACATTCTTCCAACTTGTGGCATTGTTGTTGTTTAAGTTAGGCGCTGTTCCTGGTCTAGGAGGTTGTGTGTTGTGCTGTTCTGCAGTGGAAGGTATTTGAGGACCATTGTTGTTATTACATGTGATGATGTCATCATAAAGAGGGGTTGAATCATGACTGGACACGACTATTGATACGCCATCGACTCCCTCAAGTTCGATGCTGCCACTGAAAGATAACACTCACATTCAGCTGCAACTACTCAGAGGAATACTATAATTTTTGAGTATGCTCCAGGCGGTATCATCTAGCATAATGAACATGCCAACAGAGTTAGAAAAGTGTCAATGAACGCAAGAAAACCAAAAGATGACTGAATTTCGAATTTCAAAGAAAAAATATATGGTTTTTAAGCTCTTTAAAGTTCAAGAATTCATGATTGACCTTCTTTGGATGAAATTAACTCAATTCGAGAAAACTGGATCACTAGAGGTATAATTTTCATAAAAAGTAACGAAGTTGTGAGTACTCGAGTACTCTTATATAGGTCTTGGAGATTTTTCAGGAAAATTCAATTTTGATTTTTCGCGGTTTGACTTTCAATTTTTTTTTCAAATCCCTCGTTTCCTTTGCTAAAAGGAAGGCAAACTTCACTATTGAACAGCAAAAATATAAAAATCATGAAAGCGTTATCGAATTCTACTTTCGAAAATGGAATTTAATCATCAGATTTCCCAGCAAAATAAAAATTTACCTATTGATCCAGTTTTAAGGGGCCATTGTTTTAAGGGACAAAAATTAGTTTTAAGGGACGAAAATTAGTTTTTTTTCGTGTGTTTCCTAGCGTTCATTACTTTTTCTAACTGTCAGTTGGCTATGTTTCTGTTGGGAAATCTTAAAACTAAAGCCCGCGTTCGAAACTAGAAGTCGTTCATGCCTTTTCGCCGCATTTCAGCTTTCGTTAACCGTAACTGAGAGCGTAACTTACGTTTCTTTCAGCTAATCATTTGAATTGAACACTTGCAATGCAAAAAAAAAACATATTCCGCTGCAAGATAGTGAATGGGAAAAAAATAAACTAAAAAAATTACTTGAAAAAATATCTAGTAATAAATTGAAAAAAACACAGCTACGAAAACTTCAACTTTGTATCGGATGAAAGTCATAAGCAGCTTTTAGAAAATTGGAAATACTTTACACAGCGACATCAAAAGCGACCAACTTTGGGTCGAAGCCTGTTGAGCCGAAAACAAAACTGTTGGCATAAAAAAACTTCAAAAGTTTGAAAAAATTTTCCGACCCATTCAAGCTGAAACACATTAATGCATACGGATCTATTTGCCCCCGAAATTACGCAATATAAGTTGACTAAGTCATCATAACAAAAACTGCAGCTGTTTAAAAATATTTAAAAAAACGAAAAAAAACTCGAATTCAGAATTAGTAAATTTACAAATTTGTTTTAGTAAAAACTGATTGAATTGGAACAAAACCCGTGCTTTAAAAATTAAGCCAATTAAAACCCTTCCAGATAAAAAATCAATTTTTCCTGAAAAAACGGGAAAAAAATTGAATAAATCATCACGACCTATATAAGAGTCTGAACTGCGTTCATCGATTCTTAAGCAAAAGCATCAGATCAAATTTGGCGTCAGCAACTTTAAACATAGAGGTGAAGCGGAGCTTTGCATCACATGCGATGCAACACAAATGTAAAAAACGGAAACCAAAATGAAAAATGTTGAAAAACACTAGGTCTGTCAAAATTTGAAGCCTCGATAGAAGTTCATTTTAGAGATAGATTCCAGACAATTGAATACTAAATTGGAAACAATTAAACTTACAAAGAGGAAACAAAGCCGACAATCTTAGAGCAGACAAAAAACGAGCCAAAAACATTTAACTTACAAAATTTAAACTCACATTGAACAACTTGCAGTTGCAACTACAATGAAAGTTGCTTACAGCAAAAACAAATACTGTGATGTGGCAACAAATTCGACACAACATGAATCAAACGAAAGTCCGACAGTTGAATTTATACCGGAAAATTTTATGACATACAAACTGAAAAAAGTCTAGTTCCCGATTCCAAGATACTTGCTTTTCGCAAGTGTGACAAGATACTAAAAAAATCATCATGACCTCTTTAAGTGTCTTCACTGCGTTACTTGACACTTTAAAATAATGATATAATTATTTGAGAAGAAGATACTGGATACAATATCAACACAGGCCTTTTTCGCGTTGAGTCAATCTTGCCCAATTAGTTTCTAAAAGAAAAACCGTTGCCGAATTTTTCTTGTAAACTCATATAACTCGAAATCTTTACAGTCTTACTTCTTAACAAACTTTATATTCTTATCAGCCTCATATCATACGTTTTTACATTTATCGTCTATAACTAGATAAATCATTAAAACATCGTCATCATCATTATCTATGCTATGATCGCGCGGAGAAATTATCAAGTTACTTTACCTTCCAGAGTAAGCACCATAGACATGTGAGGAGTCCCCTGTGGCAGTCGAGGCGGAAGCAGAGGTGGTTGCAGGTATGCTTCCTAACTTATTACCAGGATACGATGTCGCTGCACCTCCTCCAATAATTGCTGACGACAACGAAGGGTAATCACCGTTGCCCATTATCGGTACGTGACTGTAGTAGTGGCCTTGTGATTGGTCATTTGATCTTGGCCTTTGACCTAACCTCATCTTCTGTGTGGTTCTGTGCATGTCTGACTGGTTTACCTCACTTCCCCACTTTCTCCAAGGCACCCGTGATAAGTACATGTAGCGAGACTCGTTCCTGCTGAGGTCATCTGCAATGTGTTTGTTTCTACACTTCAGAACTGTGCATGCTGATTTCCTTGCAGATGTTTCCGATATTCGACTGGATATCTCGGGACAACTCAGCCAGCGCCTCATGCTGCACTGCTCACATATGACTAGGACAATAACCGTAATAACAATTCGACAGCTCCATGGCACACATTACTCATTTTAACAAAAAAAAGTAGAAAAAAAACTGACAGACCAGAAAAAACTCTGGCTATCTCAAACTATATTTTGATCTTAAGCAAGTTCTGATTTTTCCTACCTCGTATTTGCTACTTTAAGCAGAGTTTAATGCATTTGAACTCACAATCCGATATCTTCAGTCTGCGCACAAATCGAAGTGTGTTAACTGAGGCATATCTCTCGCAAGGCACTGCCGAGTAGAAACTGTCTTCATTTTGTCTCCCAGTTAGATCTCCACCACCGTACGGACTCCTCTTAGGAGGCACAGGTGGCCTCCTAACTGGTACTGCAGGCGCCACCCTCTTTGGGGGTTCCCCAAATCGGGATCCCTGGAGTAAATTTCCAGAATCATCGGCAATGTAGTCAACTTGTTCACGCGGCGATGAGAAAACACTATTCGTATGTGTACCATTACTGCTACACCCAGAAGCACTTATTTGGCTACTTTGGTATGAATGGTTAGCATGGTTGTTTGCCTGCTGATAGTGTGCTGAATTAGGCGGCAGGTTCACTGATATTTGCAACTGAGTGTCTTGCTCGTAGAAGGCTGACATCTGATTCTGCTGGTGGGAAAAATTAGCACCGCCACCACTTCTGTCTGGCTCGTCGCAGCATGTGCCATTTTGGGCAAACGAGGAAGCGTAACTACCGGACGGAGAAGGTTGCCCTTAAATTAAATTTTTTAATTACTAGTTTCAAAAAGTCAAAAATTTTTAAAAACAGATTTTCAGATATTTCACAAAAATAAGCGCTATATAAAATTTCAGTCGTTTAAATTATTATACGTTTATGCTAAAACATTCAGGCTCCTTTAATTTGAGGCCCTTAATGGTTAAGAACGAAGAATATGAACCAAAGGCTAACCGAAAGACGCATTGTTGTTCAGAAATAAGTCCGACGTTTTCAGCGGTGTGAGACCATTGAAATCCATCGCGCTGTGGGAGCCTTTGGCACTTCCCAGAGCTTTGTTCATTTGTGGGGGATTAAAGGTCAAATTATTTGCATTGTTGGACCCATTGGAAGACAATGTATTAGTCACGTTATCAGATGTAATCGTATTTTCTAAATTGAATAGAGGAATAACTGTGTTGTTGGGTGAAGAAGTGAAAGGCTGCTGTTTGAGCTGCATCGCATTCCGAAATTGCTGATGTTGAATTTGGTTCTGCTTCAATGAGGCAGTGGCATTTGCAGCTGCGGCACTTAGATTTAAGTTCGGCGGACTCTCGTCATTTTGGACTCCTGTGCCCATCACGAGTTTGTAAGTTTCGTTGCCAGTGTAACCGGCACCAACGCCACCTGAACCAAGGACAGACGAGTCGTTCAAATTGCCTTCTGCTCGAGTGTTGCACATACCATATTCGTTGGTACCCATCTCGGATAGAATGTCATCTGCAAGTATAAATCAGCCATAAAAGCATGAATCAGATAGAAAAACTTAATGCTGTGCATCATCAAAAAAGGTTAGTACTTTTAAAACATCTGTTTATAATCAAATCAATTTCGAAGTATTCAAACAAAAAGATGGTAGCTAAGAAAAAATATCAACTCTTACCATGAACTTCGCTTTCATGGAGCAGCCTGCGGCCGGACACGTGATCTAGAGCCTTCAGAATGGCTTCAGGCTGACTTGATTTCACACTGTAGACCTTCTTATTTAGATGAAGAACGACAGCTCTGCTTTTGTTGTCTCCGCCGTAGCATTTAACGTCGCTCAGCTTCATCGCGGCCAGTTTCTGGGGCACATCGTCGTCCGGGAGAGTCGCGAAGGCTATGTTGTCGTTGAAGATGAACATCATTGCACTCACACTAGCCCGCACCTTGGACAGGAAGGCCGAGGAGGGATTGGGTGGGATCTCGACAGCAAATGTGAACAGGTTCTCTACACGAGGAAACAAACAAATTTGGAAATAGACGTGTGCACAGAACATCAAACTAAAACAGCGAGCTAATAGCAGCGTTTTTAGTGCGAAAAAGTAAAATATTTACAAAAAGGGAAAAATTATCCCAAGCGTCGAAAAAAATTTTAAAACCCAACTCCATACATTTCATAATACCTGTTTTATCAATCAGTAATCTACGTAAACAGCCCAAGCACGACAATCTAATTTTGGAAATTCAAATTAGCAACGGAACAAAGCTTACGAAACGGAAACAAAGCCGACATACTTTGAGCAGACACAAGTTAAGCCGAAAAAATAATTTGTTAAAAATTCCAGAAGTTTCAAGTCCCACCTGAAACAAAATAAGTTTTCAATGTTGTTTCAGGGGGGAACTTGCAACTGCGATGATAAAAGCTTACAGCAAAAAATCCTTAATGTGTCAACTAAGCCAACAAAACGTGAGCTGCTAAACGAAAGTCCGACAATAAAAACTAATTTCATCGTAGCAATTATTCAGAAATGAATATAAATAACACAATCAAAAATAAGCAACTCTGAGATAACAGATGACGAACCGATATTCGTTGCTAAATGCTGCCTCGATTTACAAAAGCAGATGACAACCAAAATCAATCAAAAGCGATACAACACAATCATAAAAAAAGCTCAAATAAAAAAAAACTAAAAAAAAGTTAAGAAAAACTAGGTGAACAAAGTTTCGTATGCCTGGATGAAGGAAACCTAGGGCTCAGGTAAAACTGGAGGTACTTGTTTGAAATTCTTTAAATTTGTTATACTGATGAGGGATCAAATGCGTAATTGCAAAAATTGGACTTTGCTCGAAACCTTAAATGTTTCTTTTATGATAATGAACAGTAAAAATTTTTGAGGTTTTGGAAGAAAATATAAGAAGTAGTCGCTTTTGCAAGAAAAATTCGCGCAACTGCTTCGTTCGATTGAAACTTTCATCTCAGATTTGATAGGGTAGTTTTTAAGAAAACTCAAAAAATGTCCAAAAAACTGTCAAAGTTCCAAAACTTTCACTTGTTTAAAGCCCAAAACTTTTTTCTAAAAGAAACTGGTCGTAGCAAATTCAAAAAGTAAGCTTCCAATAACCTGTTGTGTCTATTAAACCTACACCAGATTTGACAGATTGTTATCGAGAAAAGTCCCAAAAAAAGGTCAGCAAATCAGAAAGTAGACATTTCCGAGAATGATAGCTTTTCGTTTAAAAAAATTGAGCGTAGCCGCTAATGCAGAAGAGATTCACCCAACCTGTAATTTCGATTGAACCCAAAAACCCAGCTTTGGCAGAATAGTTCGAGAAAAGTCTTGAAATACAAAAAACGCCCAAAAAATCAAAAATTTGATTTTTCCGAGGGCCGTAGTCGCGTATGCAAAGGAGCTTCACGTAACATGTTCTTTGGATTGAACCCGCAAGCTCAGATATGGTAGGTTAAAACCAGATATAGTAGGCTCAGATATTTTTCGCTAAATTCGTCAGGCTTTCGAGTTAAACGGATAAAACAGATTCGAAAAACTATTCCAAGGGCTATTATTTTCTTTTTAAAAAAATTGGGTGTAGCCGCTAATGGAGGGGAGCTTTTCAAATCCATTCAATTCATTGAAACCAAAATCTCAGATTTGGTAGGTTAGTTTTTGATAGACCAAAAAATATATATCGGTTCAACATTCCCGTACAGAATTTTTCGAAGGCTGTATACAAAGAAGTAAAGCAAAAAAAGACCAGAGGAGTATGCAGGCACACAAAAATGTAGGCGGTGGATTACCTTTTGTGAAATCCGGTAGAATTGTTTCTAATGGATTTTCACTAATGGACTTCCGAGAAAATTATCAAACAAAATAGGAAAGCCAGTTACTTAACAGCAAAAACAAATTTAATGCTGTCACTACTTAAAATATACAAATTCAGAAGATTGTGGGCAATTGTTCGAACATCAAAGTGGGACAAATCTTTTTTACCGGAAAAAAATTCAATGGCATAAGCTTAAAAAACATGTCCAGCCGGGATTTGATCCCCAGACCTTAGGGTGCAAAGGCGACGGCATTACCTCTAGGCCATGTGCAAAGAAACCTCGAAGATGTTACGATTCAACCATAACGCTAATTCAAAATCTGTAAGAAAATTTGTTTACGGGAAAACACCTAGTTCCTGATTACAAGTCACTTGCTCTCGCAAATGAAAAGATATCAAAAGATAAAAATTATCAAACTCCATATTGAGCGAATGAGGTCTTTGAGATGTTTGTTTAAAACAGTAAACAAGTTCATTGAAATTAAATCGCCAAGGAATGAGTGTAGCATTACAATATCGCAGGCCAGCTTCGAAATGAAGCTGATTCGACCGAAAAACTGTAATTTTGAGAGCGGTCATCTGTTACTGCCTACCTTCCCCATAGACCCCGCGGATCCTGCACTCCCAGTCAGTATGAGAGTACTTGGACTCGAAGCCCAGAGTAAGCATCTTCTTCGCATACACAATACAGATGGCATGCTGACACGAGTCAATTCTCAACTCTAAACAAAACAGACAAAATACACTCATGACAGTTATAAGACTTCTCATTAGATCTAAAAACCTGATCTTAAGGACAGATTCTCTTGATCAACAAAAAACTTTTCATCTCAATTTTACAGCCATCAATGATATAGCCGTCATCTGCTATCGCATTTTCATAAAATACTAATTCATTGTCCGATACACTCTCGGTTGCTCGTTAGATGAAAAAGACTTTTCACTATTGATTTTGAGAGGCGTCCAGATCAGAGAGACGTGCTTTTAAGAGATGTCCATATCAACATGCACACACATAGTCTGTTTGGCAACAGACAGTTTGACCCATATCAACAGACTGTTTGGCCTAGAGCTATCTAAGGCTCATCAATTAACTGATCATCGCCTGTCGAAAGCGACTTTCTGCTATCGAGTATCGCGCTGCCAATTTACAGTCATTCATGTGTTTCAAAACTGCAGGATATTGATGATGTTTAACTCCTTCAGCATAATTGACAGTCTTCAAAATTCAAGTCACTAACTTATTTTTTTTGCGTGGGAGGGAATGCCAAAAACGATGCATGCGATACTTAATCCGTATCCAATCCATTTCAACTACAAATATTAGTCACCACAAAACTAAGAAATAAAAAAACTACATCAAGAGCGGCGGCGCATCTTCAAAAGAAGTGTAGCGAGGTCAACAGACGAAATAGAGCGCGGCATCACACAAGTTTAGCACCTTTCAAGTCGTCTGGGCACAATCGAACTGTTACAATTACTCTATTTTCATCATACGCCACTTCTGAAGACGCCGCAGTCAGACGAACCGCAATAAAAGATAGCGACAACACTCATACACACACAGACACTTAAAGCATTGCATGTGAATACATAAAAATACACCAACAGACTTCACTGTCATTTTACAACTGTATTCCGCTCTTGGTTCAGCATTCAAAAAGCGTTTGTTGTTCTACTTAGATATCTGCCTTGGTACGACTACGAGAACTAGCGAACCTTCAAAGCAGTTATAGGCACTCATTTCCACTTTAACCACACCACACCACCACACATAGCCACTGCACTAAGAATGTGCTAGATACAGCTTCCAATTCAAGTTCAGTTCCCTCCAGTCTCTCTTTCTCTCTCAAACACACTTTCAATCTACTCTACTACCCTCGTCGGATTGTTCACGTGCCATGGCGGAAGGACAGGCAAGGTAGAAGGGAAGCGTCAACAACAACAGAATTTCTTTTTGTTTTCCCAACTAGAATTATTTGTCTGCAGTATGTGGACAATAAATATCTATTTCACTGTTCAGTCGGCACATGTTGCTTTTCTGTTACCTTTGAAGTTCGTTCTAAATCACCGCTCCCATTTAGAACAGTGCGGCCAATTTTTTTGTTTGCTTCCCAAAATAAATAGCAACACCGATGGAGGCGAGACAAAGGAAACCGAAGAAACCTATGTCACTATCTCTTTTCCATGTTAAAGGTCAAAGCAACTATTTGCAACATCCTACTCACTGGAATAGCAAAATATGCTAACAAAAAATTTTATACATCAATCCGCAATGTCACCAACACTCATAAAAGTTTTAACACTAACAGTAAAGTTGAACTAAATAAACTGATTCAAATCAATGAACTAAAATAAAAACGGGCGGATATCTTTAACTATTCAACCCCTCACCCCCCTCCATTGGTACCTAGTAACAAATTGCCACCCCACTCATATAGTTGAGCATATGTGAAATTTGTACCTAGCAACGAAAATCCGTCATGCCCCTTTTCAAAAGCGTAAAGATGCAACGGGCGACGTGAGCAAGAAAATAAGAGCAATTATAAACCTTTCTTTCTGGAAAAGAATGATACGTTAACGCCTCGTGACCACTACGACATTGAAATAACAGTTTGCAGCAGCCCTGAAAAAGCGATCATAAAATCAGTCGAAAACAAGGAGCAGTTATGCGCACCAATGACGTCACTTTCGGCGGTTTAAAGTTTGTGTAAATTTTCGGTTCGTTTTTACTTGGGCTAGTTTATCCGCACTCGGGGATTATGCTACAGTTATGCAATATATTATGGTGGCTAGCTAACCAGTGATCATGCCACAGTAGTCTGTGCACTCGAACCAGAACTTCTCCTTGTACTCTGGCTTCCGATCTCCTTGTCGTTTGATCTCCTTCTTGAACGTGAACCTCAGCTTGTCTAGAGCAAAAAAATATAAATCATCAACTGCTCCATATTAGACGAAAAGCGCTTCTTTCAGCCAACAGGAACTTCATGTTGTTAAAAAGTACTTGAATAACATGTGCTTCAAAAATCCACGGAAAAAGAGGCTAGATTTGTGGAAAACGGTAGTCACCTGAAACCATTGCTCATGTTTCTTAGCTTAACTTAGTTTTTCCCTCTCCCTTCTGCTTGAACACATAAATATTTTTTTATCTTCAGTTAAAAACTGCACAGGCTTTCATGAAATGGTGCTGGGTATATTTTTCCCTCAATTTCGACTACCCCTAAGAAAGCTTTTAGATACTCAAGTACGGTATCATTTTGAAGCCCTAATAGTCAGGATTCCGATTGCTTAAAAAATCTAAAATAGAATTGACACATTTGCGAATGACATGATGAACATAATAGTTCTGAATTTGCAATAATAATTTAGCTATTAGTATTTCTCATTTGTCACACAAACGCAATTCAATCGCCCTTTACAAAAAAAGTAGAAAAAATTGAAAATAAACGTTTTTTCTAATTTTTTCGGTTTTTGAATTTTCTTTACTTCAATCGATTACAGATTCCTTTCATTTCTTAAAGCTATTTTTATTATATTTCTTTTCCATGCATGCAGATAGACATAAAAAACGCTAGAAAAAATTTCTTTTTAATAATTAATCAATAAACAAGGCACTATTTCTAAATCTGAACAACAATTGCGTAACGACGTCAGATAATTTAACGGTTGAAAGTCCACTAAAATGTACTTAAGTACGCCTACGCAGCTACTATTTAAAACGTATGACATAAATACGCATGACATAAATAAGCGAAGACAAACAAACGCCTACGCTACTCAACTCCATGTTGTGCGCAATCATATTAACTTAATAAAACCTCTGATTACCACAATTTTTCATCCTCCCATTACAGCGCTGCAAGTTAAAAACACACTTGGCCCAAAATTAAGCAAACTTCCCTGAATTGTTTCACGTAGATTTCAAAGAAGTAGGATGAACTTTAATGCAATAGTAGATAAAATCAAATACTATTTGAAATAAAGTTTACAAATACAAACGGATCTTATAGTCTACAAAATGAAAAAAGTCCCCCTATGATACCTAAAAAAAAGAATTGCCACCAATCCCAAGCACTAAGTCGACGGTTAAGCATAGGTAGTTTTGTAACGCAATACCTTGTAACGAATCTTCCCCATTTTGCAATAGGGGGAAACAGTTAACAAGATCCAGGAAAACGACAATTCGTTTGACCTTAAACATTTGTAGAAAACTGAAATCAGGGCTGGCCCAAAATAAACGCTATTTAGCGGAAAGGCTTAAAGTAAAAAAAAATTGTGGAAAACGGAGATATGAAGAAATTAATTATTCCGTTACTGGACAATTAATGGCCATTAATCACAAAGTACAAAATTACATGCTTAAGACAGTTCCAACAAATTTTTAGTCAAAAAATGGCTTCTTGGACTTCTAGTAGAGCTGTTGCTCAAAATTGACAGAAGAAAGTCATTCTTCAACTAATCAGCACGGGCGGATCTAGGATTTTTTCGAGGGATCCGAATTTTCAAAAATTTTGTCGACCTTTTTTTTAGGTCGACCAAATGAAAAAACCTGAAAAGTCCCTGTTTTGACCTAATTTTCTGCGCCGCACCTGCAAACTAGATATTATGAACCTGCAAACTAGATATTATGAGTCTCACACACTGACCACTCAGCTACGGACGCTTAACAAATCGCAAAAACTAACCACAAATAAAGCAGAGAACAGATCATATGCAATTTCCAATGCTACAGTGAAATTTCCTAATAAGTGATCATTTTTAATGAACACTTTTGTTTGCGATTTATGCTTGAAAAAAGAAGGTTCGTACTATTACACTAACGCTCGCAAGTTTAACTACTCCATCGAGTAAAGCTTTTTCAGAAACGAATCAAATAGATATCCACAAGTAGTCAGTTCGACAGAAAATTTAACAGCTTACAATTTCCCACTTTTTGCAATAATTTTGCCCAAAAAAACTGCCTGTTAAGACAAGTAGGTTTTAAAAGCAAGATTAAACCGGTGAGATGCATATCCAAATAGCGGTCTCCGACACAAACTAAGTTCATCTTTAATTGTCTCACAGTTTCCACCAATAAAACATACATTTCTTCCGTGAATTTCAAGTACATACACCAAAAAATGAGTGTTCTGCCACCGACATTGATTCTTCTATCAAATGTAAAAATATAATAAGTAAAGTTGTAGCCTCATTATTTTCATTTACGATGCGAATACTCAAACATAATGAGTATATTTGCGCGTTCAGAGCAGCCGTGCCCGAGTTGGGCATCACAAGGCTCTCTCCACAAAGTCGTGCGTTCGATTCCCACTTCGCTTACGTTGGAGGGGTCTACGCCACCTCAAGGTGGGACACCCTGCTGTGAAATGGATGACATCTCTCCTCTCCCACGGTTGGCCCTGCATTGAGTAGGACCGAGGCAATAAAAAAGGTATGCACCACCACCAAAAATTATAGCGAGTTTGGAGTAGTAGTAGTAGTAGTAGTAGAGGCTTTAGGGCTCATTGGCCCAGGGGTGTCAACCCTTCAGTTTTCAGCTGGCATGAGTTTTTGGTAGGGGTTACACGATCCACAGGAACACAGTACACGCCAGGTGCATGTGTCTAGCTGATTGTAACTGTTTTCAAAGTAGTTGAAGTAACTTTCTGTCAGTTGTTTTTTCGTCGGGTTGTCGCGAAACTGTTTGTGGAGTATATTGAAAAGATTCGGGGCTCTCGTCCAGAAATTTTCGTCTGTTTTGCTGATGCGGTTTTTATTGAGCTCGAATTCGCTGCATTGTCTCGTGGTGCTTTCTCTCAGTGATATTGGAATTGAATCTTCACTGACGCTGTATTTACCGTCCATGACCGATTGAAGAAACAGTATATCATGGAGTTCGATGTACATTGAGAGTGGTAAGATCTTCAGGGTACGTAGTCTCTCTTTGTATCCGATGGAGTAGTTAAGTATCCATGTAGTAGCTTTTTGTTGAACTCTTTCGATTTCCCGCATTTCGGTTTTTGATGGGTACCATACCTGCGATGCATAGGAAATGACAGGGACGACGTAACCTACATAGGCGTTCAATTTTGTTTGGAGATTTGCATAGCATGAGATGTTACGTTTGAGGTTGGAGAAGGCTCGCCATGCTTTACCGGTCCTACGTTTAATGTTTTCGTTCCACGAGATGTTTTTTGTCATTATCACTCCTAGGTCTTTCTGGGAGTTGACAGTGCCTAGTTTCACGCCTTTTGAACACACAGGCTCTGTATTTCCTTTAATGCGTAGTGCCTTACTTTTTCCTAAATTTAGTACCATTTGGTTTTTGAGACTCCACTTTTCAATTTCCGTTCCGAGGACAATTGCTTCTTCGTAGTTCTTTGCAATTACTTTAAAGTCGTCGGCGTAGCCAAAAGAAGTGCTCGGTTTGACTGATTCTGGAAGATCGTTAACGTATATCAGGAACATGAGCAGACCTAGTATTGAACCCTGTGGTACTCCACTTGTTACTGGCGTGACTGGAGATTTGCTTCTATCAATTTTAACACATTGTTTTCGTGCTGTTAGGTAGCTGGCTAGTAGTTCAAGGATTTTCCCGCCAATTCCCATTTCTGCAATTTTGGCTATCAGTGGTTGATGTGGGACCTTGTCAAAGGCTTTACTGAAGTCTACGTATAGGACCCATAGTTCAGCGTTTTCTTTGATGTCGTTTTCCAGATAAATTTCGTTCAGAAACAACAGAAGTTGTATGATCGCTGATCTGTTTTTTCTGAAACCGAACTGTGCTGGGTGTAGTTTAGTTTCGATTGTTGGATATAATCGGTCGAAGAGTATTTTTTCAAATACCTTTGATACATTTGCCAAAAGACTGATGGGTCTGTATTGCGATATGTCTGCCTTGTTGTTTTCTTTAAAGACTGGTGTTATTTCACTGGTTTTCCATCGGCGTGGAAATGATCCTTTATTAATGCAGGTTTGAAAAATGAGCTTTAGAGATTTTGCGAGTGATGTCGCGTGTTTCAGGATAATGTTTCCAATGTTGTCCGGACCGCATGCTTTTTTTGTTTTCAGTGATTGGAGGCATCTGGTTATTTCTTCCTCGGATAGTTTCAGGTGGTTTGTTTCTGATTTTATGTAAGTTTGTTTGCCGGTTAGTTCACCTTGTTTGCTGAAAACTTGGGTGAAAAATTTGTTAAACAGAGAACTTTTTTGTTCGTTGTTTACTGCTGTTTCAGTTGTGTCCGGTGATTGATTAAGGAACATTTCGTCTGGTAGGGGATGCTTTTTGTGTATCGATTTCAAGTATTTCTGAAGATCAGACATGCGGCGGCTCTTGAATACTTTAGCTTCGAATATGGCTTGATCCATTTTGATTTCTTCGTTCAGGCTTTTTTCAGCTTTTTTGATTTTCAGGAGTAGCGAGAGTGAGTTTGCTTTTGCGTATTTACGCTTCATTGTCGCGACAATCTTCATTTGATGAGAGGTGGATGATCTAATCCAGGGTGGAATTTCTGCCCTGTGTTTGGTGACTCGGGGTATTTTTTCGTCGATGATGTTCTCGAGCCATTTGTACCACTGTAACAGTAGGATGTCAATGTTGCTGTAGCAGTATGGTGTAAATGGCTGGCTGACGATTTGTTTGTTGAAATCATCCCAGTCGGTTTTCTGGTATGCGCGTTTAATAGCTGGGGTTGTTATTTTGCTCGAAGTTGGTAGGGACAAATAAGTTTTGTATGCGTGATGATCGGAACACTTTTTTCCGTTTGATGAGTATTGTGCTTCTAGTGCTGAGTCGATAGCCGAACTTAGCACAAGAGTCGGGTCAGTGGCAAGGAATACATCGAGGCTCCTGCCTTCGTGGCACGTGATTAGCTGATGTAGATCGTACTTTTCTAGAGTGTCCAGTATGTTGGCTTCGTATTCGTCGTTTGAG